TCAGGTACGGCGGGCTGAGCATCGTTGCGCTTGGCTTGGAATTTTACATTGACTTGGTGTCGTCGGTGCTGGTACTCTGGCGTTTTAAAACGCCGAAACACAGGCACTTCCAGGACAGAGGTAGGTGACCATGCGAGCCGACGCCAGCAAGCAAGACACATGCCGCCTGCCTCCATTTGTGTGTATGCAGGCCAGGCTCTCGCGAAGAAGATGCAACGTGACGCCATCCGAGAGCGCAGCAGCTCATTCTGTAAGCACGCACTCTACTCACAAACACAGGAGCACTCGTGAATCCGTCCTCTGCGGCTGGGCCGGCAGGGATTGGTGTGCTTTTTCTGCTGCTGGGTCTGTGGGTGGTGATTGAGGCGATCGTCAAGCTTCACGAGAACCTGAGTTGGAAGAAGCGGCAATTGATGGCCGAAGCGGCCGCTGGGGTGGCGTGGCCGAGTGCGGTGCTCTTCAGCGCCCTCGTCTGGTGGAAATTCAGACTCGCGGCAGCGCTGCACTCGCAAGTCATTCGGTGAGGGGGCAGAGTGCCGCGTGTGTTAGGTGTGATGAGTGGTGGATGGATGGGTCTCTCGGTCTGCCTGCCTGCCTGGGTGCCTGGGTGCAGGAAGGATGCCGTCTGTTCTCTCTTTGGCGTTGTCCTGTCACTTGTGGTCGGCATCGCTGCCCTGGTCGACATATATGGCTCACGACAGGTGGGTGCACACACACAGAGTACATCCACACGCCACTGAGCTCACCGACAGATATACCACGCCCAATGGCCCCTTTCTTTCTTTGTGTGTGACGTTTCAGCACAAGGGCAGCCATGGCGACATGGGGGGCGATGGGATCGCTGCCATTCTGCTGGCATTGTTCATTCTGGGGGAGGGCGGGCTCACTGTGTACAGGAACACATGCGGCTGGTGGGAGAGCAAGGAAGAGGGCGCCTTCTCACACCAGCAAATGGCGTGAGCGGAGCGGAGGGGATGGGAGGGGGAGGTAATGGTGTCGTGTGAATGAATGGAAGGGCATATCCGGACAAACCGAGTGAGTTGGTGTGCATCGACTTTTTAGTCGACATGTCGTGTTATTGTTGCTATCGATTTTGCGCTTTTGATTGAGCGGTTCAAAAGGTACATGTACAGTGATCCACTTATCTGACTGACTGACAGGTGTGCATGGCTGATGTGATGTGTATCTCTCGGCTATCGTTGCTAATTAGTGGTCAGTTGCTCTCACGGCTCATTTGTCGACGGTGTGCGAAATCGCGGCTCAACATTTCTCTCGGCGGGAATTAATCATCACGTTGCTGTGTGCCGGTGGGGTGAGTTGGTCAGTCTAACTTACCCAGACGGTGCTTGAGTTAATTACACATTGTCCCTCAACCATTGTGTCTCTCACACGCACCGCAGTCAGTCACCCATTGCGCGTCATGTCTCTTCACGGACAGAACTGTCTGACTGCGTCACTGTCACTTGCCCATGAGCGCACTGAGGAGGAAGTTGCCCATCGTGCCGCTGTGCTGTGCCGTCATGGTGCGGTTGATGGGGCCGTCGGGCAAATCGACAGAGGGAGGCCTCTTTGGCTGGCCCGCTGACACGGCGGGCGGCGCTTCTGATCAATGGATTACACAGACAGAGACGCCATGTGTTGAGGCATTGTGCATTCAATTTGTCGGATGGACTGTCTGGTCATCGACCTGTTTGTGCGGGTGTGGGTGTCGTCATTTGTGGAGCCAGTTGCCGCTCAGCAAGAACGCCCACCACCTCGTCCACGCACAAATACTCAACTGATCAGCACACACACACATTGTGAAGGAAGGAGCGGTTTGCCGGCCGACCTTGGCAGGTCTCTGCGAAGGCCTTGCGCATGGCTGGCGTGTAAGTGGCGTTGCCCAGGTAGACGCTGCGCGCACACGGCCCCGTGTAGCTTTTCGGTGCATTACACACGCCTGTGTAGGTGCCAGAGTGCCGCTGCTCCGTCCAGCCTGACACACGCACGCACATATTAGCATCTGTGTCATCTCTCCCTCTGTGTCATCTTACCCTTTGGGCATGTCCATCTCGCGTATTCTCTGATGCATCCCTCGGCGCACGGCCAGTCGACATCGTGGTCCAGCGCAAATGCCTTCTTCCTCTCCACAGTGAAGCCCTCAAAGGACACGGCAGACAGGTGGTCACCTTGCGAGGCCGGCGGCTCACACACACTGCCGCCCTGCGCCGACAGCGGAAGCCTGACAGACAGACAGACAGACAGGTGTGTATCTGTGTGTGTGAGCTGATATCACGTACCATCCCGCTGGACACGTTTGGGTGAAGTCGATGACACATCGCGGCTGCACGCACGGCCATTGGACTCGGCAGTGTGCCGCAAAGTTCTTGCGGGCGGCCGTGTCGAGGGCTCCGAGTGACTGCCGAGGGAGGCACGGGCCATTGTATGTCTCGGATGCCTCACACGTGTGTGTGTCGGCGAGCAGCTGCCACTCGAGGGGGCACTCAGAGGTCATGTAGTCGCGCCGACACGTCTCTCTGCATCGCCATGTGGCTCCGCACTCCACCTCCCATCGCACCTTCTGCTCATCCGTCATCACGCCTAATGACAGACACACAGAACAGAGAGTTCGATCGTATGAGAGCATCTTGTCTCTCTTTACTGCTGCCTTACCGAATGTGTGCAGCCGTCCGCACCGTCCGCTGTACGTGAGCGGCGCGCGGCAGAGGTGGCCGCGGCCGCCAGACACATCGACCCAACCTATGAGACACGCACACACACACAGACAGACCTCCATGGATCCATGTGTGTCCGTGTGTCAGACTGACCCTCGGGGCATCCTGCATAGTCGCGTGTGCACTCAATGGCTGTCGGCCAACGAACCAAGCATCGCTCCGCGAATGCCTTCTTGGCGTCAGGCGAGTAGTCAGTGAGTCGCTGGATGATGCCACAGAGGCCAGAATAACTCAGAGGAGCCACACAGCGGCCACGCAGCTCGGTCCATCCATCTGAATGCACACACAGTGATTGATTGATTGATTGTCTCTGTCTCTTGTTTCACCTGGGCACGTCTGAGCATTGTAGTTCTGCTGATTGTCTTGCAATTGCCCGGCCAGGCTGTGCAGTTTGATTGACGTGAGGGAGTGCGAACCAGATGCGTCGGACACGCCGACCAGCTGGACGGTCAGCAAGGCAACACACAGAATGACAGACGTCATGCCTGGCTGGCTGCCGGGTGTGTGTGTGTGACCGTTGTTCAGTCAGTCGATTGGTGAGTCAGTCACACCATACAAATCAAACCACACAGCATATCTATACAGAAACATGATCATGACATACACTCTATATGATATCCGTCTGTACAGGAAGTCACTTCACTCAGCTCATGGCTTGTTGCTGCTCGCCTCCCTTGACCTCATTGTTAATGGCTATGGCGGGCTCTAGCCTCGGGAACAGAGGCCGCGATGCCACGAAGGCGTCCTCGTCTTGAGGCACCGCAGAGTACTGAGGCAGTAGCTCACGGCCCACCCTGTCGGCGTACTTGGAAGCATACACTTCGCACGACAGCACGCGACGTTCCCTCCCGCCCCGGCCGATATAAGTGTCCCAAAAGGACAACACGTCCCCAACCTTAAGCCCTCGCAGCATCTCTGCCTCTTCGAGCTGCCGCCCGAACCGGTAAGTGCCGATGTTGATCTCAGCCCAGTGCCGATAGACCTCTGCTGCGAGCTGCTGGTCCTTCCTCAGAATGCGGTCCCTCTCAGCCGCGATGGAGCCGTCCAGCTCCCTCTGTGTCAGCTTCGCCAGCCGAGTGCGTCGGAAGTCGTCGAGGAAGTCGGCTGCCCGAGCGACGAGGGTCTCCGGGTCAGCCACGCTCGACTGGATGACGAAGCGCAGAGAGGGGATGCCCGAGGTGAGCGAGAGGCCGCTACCCACTATGTACCCCAGCTGCTGCTTGGTCCTCAGCTCACTGTAGAAGGGCGACTCAAGCAGAGACCGCACCACTTGCGCCGTCAGCTTGTTCTTCATCTCTCTGTCGCCTATCTGGAACACGAGCGACGCGGCCGAGTTGGGGTTGGCGACATTCGGCTCCTGCCGCCGCAACACGAGGGCCTCTCCAAGAGATGACGGTGGGTCACTCAGTTTGTCGGTGGACGGCGTCCTGGGCAGCTCGACGACTCTGCGAGTGGGCCGCTGGTCAGGCGGCAGTGGCGTGAAGGGAAAGCTGTTCTCGACGGTCGCGACGAGCTTCTTTGCTTCCGACTGCTGTAGGTTGCCCTGGATGAGCGTCTCGCCGAAGCCGCCGCTTTCGAAGATGGTCGAGCTGAATCGCTGCAGGTCGGACAGAGTGAGCTTCTCCAGGGCCTGCCGGACTGCCTCCACAGACGGCGTGGGGATCTCCGTCAGCCGACTGATGAAGTACCTGGTCAGGTCACACGACGCGACGCACACAACACGTGTGTGTGACTGGCAGGACATCGATCGATGTGGTTGTCCCTTCCTCACCTGGCATGCTCGTAGGGCTGCTGGTTGTCGAAGGCAGCGAACTCCCGGCGGGCGATGTCCTGAAATCGGCTGAATTTGTCCTCGTCCGTCGGCATGTGTGTGGCAATCCGACGGGACACCCTTTCGACGAAGTCCTGCAGCTTGTCATTGTACCCTCCGAAGGACAGCTGCAAACCCTGCACGTATGTATGTATGCGCACGCAAAACACACCCAGAGGCGACACACGGTGAGAGAGGAGGTGAGTGACACGTCAGTGACGGTGTCGTGATCCCCCTTGCGCACCTTTGCGTTGAAGTCAACGCCGTAGCTGAGGCCCGCGAGGCCCGCGTCGTACGCGAATTCATTCAAATCGTCATTTACACTCAACTCGTAGAGCCGTGACAACACCTGCACCAACACAACACACAGGCCATTTGGAGTGGCCGCCCTCTAGGCACACGCACCTGGTTCTCAGGCGAAACAAGCGGGGCGTTGGTGGACAGCGAGAAAAGCCCATACGCCTTGGGCGTGCCGAACTTCCTGTCGCCCTTGTAGAAGACGCGCCACGTTCCGTCATCCCTGATGATTTCGGGAGGGAGTGGCTGGCGGCCGGCGTCTGGGGTCTGGGAGAACTTGAGCGACACGTCAGAGGGGATGAACGGGTTGGCCGGGGGATAGGTGAGATCAGGTGGCGCCTTCTGCTGCGCCCATTCCTCAAGCGTGGTCTCGCGTATCAGCCGCTCTCGGTAGGGCGTCCCGTACCACTCCTCCGTCTTGTCTGTGGTCCCCTCGAAGTCCTTGGCGATGCATGTCACCAAGACACGCTGGTCGAACAAAATCAAACACAGCGCTGCCATAACTGGTATCCGGCTGCCCGTCTGTGTGTGTGTATGTGTGTTGGTTACCTGTGGAGTTAAATTTTGGATGAATTTGATTGTGAGCTGCTGCGGCATCATCCCGACGTCATCATCGCTCTCTGCTGGCTTGATGCTTCTACGAGTCGCCGCGCGATCATCGCTGCAAGAAGAAAACAAAGAAAGGAATAAGCATGTGTGAGGATGAGCCGCCCGCATTATGTCTGTCGGTCTACAGGAAGAGTCGTTTGGTGCCGCTGAGGTAGACGAGGGGGTCCTTGACCACCTGTATCTCCGGAGCCAGCCGGACGGCGAGTGACTCGGGGCCCGACTTTTCCTGAAACTGCCAATTCAACTCTGTCCGCACACGAGAACACACAGCAAAGACAGACGACGGGTAAGCTGAAGATGGCTTTTTGAGAAGAGTGAAGGGTACCAGAGATGCGCTGGCAGTCGTCGAATATGTGCCGCGGCACGGACGAGTCCCTGAGCATGTTGATGTACGAGAAGACGCTCTTAGCGACCTCATCTCGCTGCTCAAAGCCCTTCTTGGTCAGACTCACACGCACCTCAAACACCTGCCACCGACCACCCACCCATTCACACACATGTATCACACACAGCTGCAGACACGCGTTCTTGCTCGCCCACCGCTCACCTCAAAGTCAGACGTGTCCTCTGCTGTGCTGCAGCCCAGGCCGGTCGCCAGCCCCTCTCGCTTCAGGTAAGACAGCAGCGACCCCTTTCCCTCATGGCCCAACATGTGACCCTGCAGCATACACAAATCCCACCAGCACGGCGCACCTTCTGCCCTGTGCCTAACGCACTCTCCGTGCGGTGCCTTCCCTCGCCGACCACGTATGCGTCTGGCTTGATCAGCAGGTTTTGCAGCCGATCGCCTTCGTCCGAGTACGGGATGGCCCAGGCGAAATGCAATCGCCTCAGCTGCTGCACAGGCACCACCTCCGTCAGCTGCGCCGCCCTGTCGCTCTCGTCCCGTTGATAGCCATCGCCAGCCAGCAGGGCAGGGGGGAATGGGGGCACCTTCCCCGCCCATGCCGCCTCGGGGGGCGGCCGTGCAGTGTTGCGGATGCCGGCGAACATCTGCTCTGACCATTTCTGCATGGTGCTGAGGGGTTCGGCCGACACGATGCAGAGCGTCATTGTGTTTGCGGAATAGTACTGCGAGTAGAAGTCTAGAAGAGCGTTGCGGACGTTGACGCCGTCGGCTTGTGGACGGTCGCGGAGGGTCAAGAGATTTCCCGTGCCAAACCTGCAGAAACCACACAGGGGCGGCGTGGGGCTCGTCTTCTGCCAGGAGGTTGTGTTTCTGTGCAGGCGTGCCTGTGGAAAGGGTGGGACGGGTTGGCTCTGCTACGGAAGAGTTGCTGCAGCCGCCACTCGTCGCTCTGGAGGTTTTTGGAGTTCTCAGACTCGATTGCATTCACCTGTTGCATACATGGCGGACACGTCCATGCGGGAACAAACCTGCCTATCTGGCCTCACCTCCCTGTTTGTCGCGGCCTCGGTGAATAGCGGCGCTATGAAGAACGACGAGAAGCGGTCCAGGGCCTCGCGCAGCTTCTTCTGATGACGCAAGCAGACAAAAGGCATTTCACTCAACACAGTGCTGGCAGATGGGCAGTGGCTGTATCATTCAGTAACCTGGTTGGCGATGTCGAAGAAGTAGCACGTGTCCTGGTTGTCGGTGAATGCGTTGGAGCTTCCGCCATTGGAACTCAGGAACGCCTCAAAAGAGCCCTCATCGGGGTACTTCTCAGTGCTATAGCACACACAGACACACACACACACACAAAATGGATCCATGAATCAAATCGATAGCCCGCCTTGCGTTTACCCAAGGAAGAGCATGTGCTCGCAGAAGTGAGCCAGCCCAGGAAGGTTCTCTGGGTCTGAAAAATGACCCACATGCACCGCAAGAGCAGCAGCCGCCGAATCGGCCTGACGGTTCATCACGCAGTTGCACACACCGAACGAAAGGCGAAGGAATGTGACGGCAGTGACCATGGAGGCTGACCTGTGGGTCCGTTGCGAGCAAGACCCTCAGGCCATTTGGAAGGGTCAGCGCCTTGTATTGTCGAACGTCACGAGGCGACTTCTGAATGGGACCTGTCACACATCACAGATACTCACACCCAAAGCATTGTGCTCGTCGTGTTTGGCTTACCGTTGTAGACCACCGTCCGCCCCTCGCCTGTTGCTGCTTCAGCATCGACTTCACCGAGCAAAGGAAAGCCACTGGTCACTCCAGCCGCCGCCAGGAGCTGCGCAAGTGTCGACTGGATGGCCTTCCGACGTTCCTCCGCAGATGGATCCAAGACATGTGTTCCATCATCGCTGTGCAATGACGACCTCCCTGCTGCAAGCCGGTGGCCGGGGCGCCGCCGCGAAACCGCCTCTCGTCTGCCATCCTGCCGAGGCTGCAGAGGCCGCCGTATGTGGGGATGTTGAAAGCAGCTGGTGAGGTAAATTATGTCTAGGATAAAGGAGCCGATGAATAAGGTGGCTCCAAACGAAGGCATCTGGCCACCAGCAGGACCAGAGTCGCCCGTGTGTGCTAGATCTCCATCCACTGCCGAGGGGGGAGGGAATTCGTTACGTTGTGGTCAGATCAGTCGGTGTTCGATGAACGTCTGTAAGAACGGAGAGGGGACGATAGAAAGGTCAAGCGACGGACAGAAATGGCGCTTTTTCATCTGCGAGCTCAGATGGGCGGATCGCTGGGGGCGTCGACAGTTTGCAGAGAAGCGTAGTTTCTCCTTCGCCAGTGCGTTCCTCTGCTAGTGTTTGGCTGTTGCGGGCTTAAGCCACTCTATCGGCCCAACAGGAGGCTTACAGTACCCGGCCCACCATCGAGAGAAGGAAAGATGATGTCGACGACCACGTACGGACAGCCCAAGGTGAGCTGCATTCATTTGCGTCACAGCGCTAGCACTTCACTGCACATCCATGGAACGTTATCCACCTCATCTGCAATGATGTTGGAACGAAAAATGCACACGCATGCACCACTCTCTTTGTGCTGTGGTTGAGTCAGGGGTTGTTTGAGACCGACAGCGAGACGGAGTGTCGAGCGGCACTGAGAGCGACACGGGGAGGGAGCTGGGCGATGGCATGCCTACGCTGAGCCGCCGCAACACCGGGGGACTCCGGGGCGCAGTCTACCGACCCGCCCGCACCCCGCCCAGCGGCGACGACAATCGGACGGATGCAGGACCTGAGCGCGACGATGATGAGGAGCAGAGCACCGAAGCAGAAGCAGGCCGCATCAAGCAGCGAATGATGTTTCCGACTAGGGGACTGCCATGGATGGTGAAGGCGGTGCGCAAAGATAAGAAGGCCGTGAAGAAGGCCAAGTGGGGGCGTGCTCCATTTGTGTAAACAGCCAACCAAGAAGAGACGCGATGGGGCAAATATGCACGCGGGGCAAATGCATTGCGAGGCAGCAAGAGAGTGGATGTATGAGGATAATGGACCATCTGGCTTTCGCGTTGCCGCTGATCTGTTCAGACCTTTCATACAGCCAGCTAGCCACACCAACACACATAAGGGGGAGCAAGGAGGACAGATACGTGGGTGAAGTTGCAAACGTGAAGTGAGAGAGAAATACCAACGGTGTTCACGCCATTCCTCGTGGAAAGAAACACATGTGTGTGATACATGTGAGGCCTCACACGCCTTTCTTTCTTTTTGTCTTTTTGCCACCAAGACAGATCGGCTTCATGAGTCGTTTCATGGTCCATGACAGCACTTTTTTTGTGTCAATCGACGTGAAACTTCAATGAGCGCGGTAAAACAGATATCGGACAAATACGTGAACTCAAACTTGTTACTCCTCGCCGAACAACAGCTGACTTCTCTTCACATGACTGAGAAATAGACAGGGCAAGCGTTAAAGGAATTCTTGTGTCTTTGCGTGAAGACACTCACACGATGAGGATGGCGGGATCAGGGGAGTAGCTCTTGCCCTCGAGGCCAAGATGGACGCCAGCAAACATGTGACAACCACTGCATACGACCGACAGAGACAGCACTATCCATATGCAGCAGGGCAGCATGTCGCTTTGTGCTGTTCTCTTACAGGAGTGCGCTTCGAATGTTTCTGTCCCTGTCATCGACATCTTTCGCCAGCGTCTGGAAAGACTTCATTAACGACCAACTCGTAGCACCTGCACCATACGCATGTGTCATTCTCAAGATATGCAGAAAAGACGGTCGATTTGCCCACAACAGCATAACACCCACCTTGAGTGACGTGCTCGATGGTCATCTCACAGTTCTCTCCCAGAGGGTTGTTGTTGAAGATCACCTGCAAACCACACCTGGGCAACTCGCCCGTCACGTTGCCGCGGTCGTCCATGCACCTATACGCAGAGAGACACAACGACAGGCGTGATGTAGCGATGCATCATTTCCACTCCTTATCCGTACAGTTTGTGGTTGCCACACGAAGAAGATATCGGCAGTTGGACGAGGTCCAGCTTGCGAGACAGGAAGAGGTTCCTCTTGGTGTGTGAGTAAGTCACGGGCTTCTCTCTGCTCTCATCGAGAGCAGGCAGGGCGGCAAGATGGTATGTAAGGGCATTCTCGTCTGAGTAGTGCTGTGTGTGTCTGCTGATGGCGCCACTCGTGTTGGAGAAGGGGCAGGGGCCGCAGTCAAACACCATACTGACGGTGCACGATGGGTCCACACCATAAAGCCACTGCATCAGGTCGGCATGTGTTATCACGCGGAAACCTGTGCATGTGTCGTCGCGTCAGCAGGACAAGGTCGCCCTTCTTGTCAGTGACTTACCAACACCTGCCGGCACATCGATCGTCTTTTTGCTTGCAGGTGTTGCCCTCCTGGGCTCCTCGCTCCGCAGCACTGCGCTTCGGTGTTGCCGCACCTCTTCATCGAAGTCCGAGGGGCAGAAGACGCCCTGCCGCTCCTTGTTCTTGCCCACAGGCAGCAGAGAACCGTGACCAGCGAATATCACCGCCAGATTCTCGCCCGGCCTGACTTCATTTCGCATTCTCTCCAGCTCGTGCATGATGTTGTGTCGCGTCGGCTGTCTGCTCTCATCTCCGTCTCCCTCCATCAGCAGCGTTATGTCCTCCAGGCGCCAGCCGACGGTGAATACCAGGTAGGACTTCCAGTTCTGCACGTCGTGGGACGTGCCCCGCAAGAAGCCGCGAGACTTGTTATATGAGCAGCCGACGATGAGGGCCTTGCCTCGCCGCTGGAGCGGGGCGATGGCGTATCGTCTCTCCTGGAACTCCTGAACGAAGTGGCCCAGTTGGGGGACGTACTTGAGGCCGTGCCGTCCGGTGCCGAACGGGACGTAGGATGGAAGCGATGTAATGTTCTTCTCGAGCTTTAACTCTTGCTTTTCGAGGAAACGACTGTTGTACTCCTGTGCTTGAATCTGCGTGAGAAAGAAAAGAACGGGACATGTGGCGTAAGGGAAAGGGCACGATCACTCACTCACCAGTATGTCTTGTTTCTCTTGCAGGTCCTCGACTTTGATTTGCAGCTTCTTGAGCTTGTCCTCGTACTTGTCCTGCACGGCCTTTCTCTTGTCCGTCGCGGCCTTCCCCATCGTGGCCATCTCCTGCCCCACTTGCCGCCAGTAGGCACCCATGTCGTCCTCACCGATCCCTGATGACCCCACTGTGCTGGGCAACTTGTGTTCGGCCTTGAGGCGAGCAACTGTTTCGAACAGGTAAGTGAAATCTGCCTTCAGTAGCTCGAAAGGCGTCTGTTGATGGGAGACACGTGTACTTGAATGAAGATAGGTGCAGACAATGATTTGTGGCCTTACGATTTCTGGGTGCTGCATCTGCTGCCGCGATTGTGCCGTTTGTTTGATCTTCTCCAGTTCTGCCTTCCTTCTCTTGACATCCGTCCACATTTGGTCCTCCATTATCTCCAGAGTCGACCTGAGTGTCTTGGACGATGCTGAAAGCGCCACAACCTTCTCAACCGCACTCACCTGACCGACACATGGAATGAGCAAACGCCCTGTCTGTATGGCCCCATGCATTCTTCTTCTTTCCTCACCGCTTCCTCAATGCTTTTGGTCTCTTCCCTCACTTGATCCCTCTTGCTGATCGCCTCATCGATGCGGGAGCGGGTGTTGCGCACGAATTCAGCCTGGAACGGAAAGACAGCCAGGAACACATGTTCGTGAGCCTGCTTCAGCTGCATGTATCTCACCGCCATGTCGTTTCGTATGTCGCATTCGATCATTTCTATCTGTCTGCGTTTGTCCTCTATGGCAGCCTCGATGGCCTGACGCTCCTCGTTGACCTTCTTGATGGCGCTCTCAGTGGAACCCACCTCCGTTTCGAGAGTCGACTGCAGCTGCCTGCAGCGTACACAACAAGCAAGTTAAGTGGTCTGATTTCGTTGACTGGCTCATGACATCCATAGTGTGTGTACCGTTCGTCAGATTGTTCGTTTTCCAGTCGTTGCTGTCTCTGCTTGAGCTCCTCCATGTCCTTCTCAAGCGATGCATGCTGGGCCTGCAGCAGACGCTGCTTCTCCTCCTAATGCGTTCACACATACATACGTCAACAACGACAATGAAGCTGTGTCACGTCTCTTCCTCCTCACCAGGTTTCGTTGTGCTTGTTGAATGCTGGCTTGGATCTTGCGGTGCTCGGCCTCCTTCTCGGCGGCAACCCGCTGTGTCCGCGATAGCTCGTCATCCAACGCCCACTAGACAGACACCCACACAGATGAGTATGTAGAATTTGCAGGCAGAAAAAAGCAACTGCTTAACCTTGTCTCGTTTCCGTTTGGTCATGTGGATTTCCTTCTGGTGCAGGGTCGACACCAGGTCCTTGTACGACTGTGATGGGCTGCGATTGGCAAGCGCTTGACGCTCCTGCGAGGGACAAGCCACGCACACATGTTTGACTCCTTTCTTGTGTTCTCTCGCACGTTGACCTTTTCAAGTGCTTGCTCCAGGCTTTTCTTTGACGTCTCCAGCTCGTTGCGGCGGGAGATTCTTGCCTTCAGCTTTTGTCCGAGTGATGCCTTGAGCTCCTCGGCCGCGTCGCGTTCAGTCTCAAGACTTTTCAACTTGCCTCGCAACGACTGAAGAACCAAATATACGGATGGCACCCGTCCGCTGACAATTCCCAGATGCAAATAACCATTTGCCCACCTGCTGTTCTCCCTCTGCATTCTGCAGCTGTCTTTTGAGGTCTTCCAGGTCGCGATCCCTTGACTGCACTTCGCGACGACTCATATCAAGACTCCTGTAGGTGAGAACACCCCAAACGGAAATGAGACGCACGAGGGGTAAACACACTTCCATTTTCGTGTAAGTGTCGACTCACATCTCCAGTTCACGCCGTCGAGTTGAGAGAGCACCAACTGTCTGCGAAGGCGAGGCATGCTTTCATTCATTCAACCATCCATGCGGGGTGTTCAAATGCTTTGTTGGCTGTACCGTGACCCTCTGCTGTTCTCCTTCATCGATCTGGCGCTTCAACCGCTCAATCTACAAAGGCATGGTGACACGAACAGGCACTTAGAACATCGCGTGTGTCACAGCATGCTTCACCTCTTGTTCCTTCTCCCTCATCTTGTCTTCCACAGACAAGATCTCGGTATTCAAATCCTGATGAGTCAGAACACATGACGAACAAGACCTGACAAATGAGGCAGTGCTCCTGACTGACCTCGACTTGCACCACAGCAGCCTGGTTCTGCTGTCTGAGGGCTTCAATGTCGGCCGTGCGAGCCTGCATGCACACCACAAATTCCGTCGGCAGGAATCGATGCCAGCACTTCTTCGGTTTCTGTCACCTGAAGGCGCTTGCGACTTTGGTCCAGGTCGCGTCTCGCGGCATCCCTCTGCTCACGCATTGAGCGGACCTCCTTCTCGTACTTTTCGATCTGTCGCCTCTGTTTCGTCAGCGCCTCCTCCGCCCGCTGCATCCACCAACCAGCCACATGATACACTGACCCCATCTGTCCTCTCTGGGATGCTCGGCTCACCCTGACTGCTTCGGCCTTGTTTCTGACCATCTCCTCCATCTCCTTCCTGCGCTTGTCATTGTCGGCAAGGCGGCCCTGCAGCGACTGGATCTCGCTGCTGAGAGACTGCCTCTCCTCTTCTATCTTGGTGAGCTGCTGCTGCATGCTCTGCTGATAGGACACCGACTGGTCGAGGTCCTTCATCACGGCTGACAGCTCTGCAGGTAAGGGAGAGAGAACACAGAGAGAGACATGGCTTTGACCGGTTTCGGACGACACAGGTCTTCGGGTGTGTAAGTGTGCGGTCTGGTACCTTCTTTCCTCTTTGCAATTTGCGCGTCGACATGTTTGCGTCTGTCCATGTAGGTGTCCAGCTCCTCGCGGCGGAGACGTGCGCTGCTCTCAAGAGACACCAGCGTGTTGACGTCATCCTAAAAAACAAACACGGGACATCGATCTCGGCACACTAGTTGTCGATAGATGCTGGTTACCTGCAGTTCCTTCTGCACACTCTCTGCTTCCCTCTCGAGTGCGTTCAGCTCATGCTGCAGGGCCTCCTTCTTGGCCCCGCTGTCCGCCAACTTGCCATCGTATTCACTAAAGGAAAGAACATGGATGCAGAGAGATGCCCTGTGTCGGCGCCAGCTTCTCACCGGTCCACATTTGCGCGGATATCCCTGAGGTGTTCGTATTCCCTCGCGATGTCCTCACCCAGCTTCTTAAGCTGCGACAACAAGTCGGTGCTTTATGGGCACAGAAAGCTCAGCGCCTTTTCCACGTGCCTTTTCGAGCCGTTCCTTCTGTCTGGCGATGTCTTCAGGGCTGTTCAGCAGGTCGGGACGCGCCGTGAGCATGTTTCGCGTGGCCGTTTCGAGCCTCGCTGACTCGCCGCGCAAACGATTGACCTCGCTCCTGGCGGCCTCCAGGCGCTGCAGGCAGGAACATTGATGCAGAAGAGTAAGTGTCCGACAGCCTGCATGCACACGATTGTGCGGACCTGTTTGCGATCCACACGTCTCTGGAAAAATGCCTGGACACGAGACCTGCATAATGGACGCACAAGGCGCCTTGGACACGGGATCGGTAAATGGCAAGTGTTGACTTCACTTCATGTCTTCGACGCGGATGTCCTTTGCGATGCTGGCAAGGCTGTCATCCATGCTACGATCTGATCACTCATATGCACACAGCCATACTGCTGCCATTTTGTTGGTGTGTCCGCTTGCTTTCTCTTGTGTGCGCACCTCCTGCAGGCACCTCTGCCTTGACCCACCGCCCGCTGTCCCTCTGTTTGTCCGGCCGCTGCAGATACTCCTTCCAGCTCCTCAAGTTGGACTGGGCAGCGTCGTTGGCCGCTGACTCCCTCTCGTACTCACGTTGACGTGTCTCGCGCTCCCTGCCACACCCATGCATACAGACGACCGTAGGCAAGGATCTTGTGTGCCTTAGTGTCTCACCTTTCTGCTTCCTCAACGGCTGTCTTTTGGTTATGCAGCTCTTCCTTAAGCGCTGCCACCTTCCTGCGAATGGCCTTCCTCTGAGAAAAGAAGAAGAACGCAAAGCACTCAATCCGTGTATTTTCGGAGCCTTCAGAGGCCTTTCACCTCCTCAACTATCTTCTTGTGCTCTTCGCTCCCTCGCTCAACTGCGAAAGGACACGAGACGCTTGGCGAAGTGCCATATGAAAGTTCATTCTATGCGCTAACTGTAAGGCACTCTTGGAGACTTGACGTCGGGCGGCCCCTCGCCATAAGCACGCTCAACCTGCACGAGGCTTTCCCGCAGTTTCTGCAGCCTCTCGGCCCCACTGTCCGCCAGGGGGTTGTGACGAGCGGGCGGCACGGGGATTGGCATCGCGGGAGAGGCGAACTGAAGACACAGCCGTATGCGGGGCTTCTGCAGGACAACAGACAGACGCAAGGAAATCACTGTGGTCTCGGTTGCCAGTATCGCATCGGTTGCCCACCCTGTCGTCATATGGGAGCGTGGCTGAAAGGGAAAAGGATAGGCAGGGAATGCGATACGCTGCCGTATTGTGTTCGCCCGTGTAGGCTGCATACTGTGTCTGGCCAGTGCCACATCCGTGGTGTGGATGTTGATCCACTCGTTGAACTCATTCCCTCGCCGCAGCAGGATCTCCACGTTCATGAGCCGCTGATAGTTGACGCCCGCCACCATGACGTTGAGCATAAGGGACGGCAGAGTGTCGTCATCTTCGGGGAAGGGCAGCAGGAGGCCGCGGACGAACAGGGGGACGGGAGCGTGTTGGCGGCCAAAGGTCACGCTGATGGTGGCATTTGTGGTCGGGAAGCCGCTGGTGTCCAACACGGACAAATACATGCGGTTGGCGGCCGCCATTTTCGCAATCGAACAACGGGCTCGGGGGAGAGAGAAACGTGCCAGTGCATGCAGTGGCCCCCAGTTACCCCCAGTCTTCCGTCTCGGAGCTCCGTCTTGCGCGTTTGTCCGGAGATGACAGGTGAGCAGAAGATGCTATGTGCGTGCGTGTGTCAGGTTGGTCGGAGCAGCGGCACTCTGGAACCTACACAGGCGTGTGTGCGGGTGTGAATGAAGGCCGCTGTGTCGCTCCTCTGAGTTATTCTGGCCTCTGTGGCATCATCCAGCGACTCACTGACTACTCGCCTGAGGACAAGAAGGCCTTCGCCGGCCGATGTGTGGTTCGTTGGCCGACAGCCATTGAGTGCACACGCGACCTTTCGGGATGCCCCGAGGGTCAGTCTGACACACGGACACACATGGATCCATGAATGTCTGTCTGTGTGTGTGTATGTGTGTGTCATAGGTTGGGTCGATGTGTCTGGCGGCCGCGGCCACCTCTGCCGCGCCCCGCTTACGTACAGCGGACGGTGCGGACGGCTGCACACATTCGGTAAGGCAGCAGTAAAGAGAGACACGATGCTCACACCTACATGCGCATCAAGGTGCGTGCATCGCATCCACACAGGCAGACGAGCGCACCAAACCACCCACACCCACCCGAGCAGCACATTGCTCTGTCTGCCTGCCTGCCTGTGTGTGTGTTGGTGCATGTGTGTGGTCGTTCAGCAATGGTTTTTCCGTCCGTGTCGATGGCTTTGAAGGAGGGCCAGTGGGATGGCATCGGTGTGCTGCTGTTTTTGCAATGCAATACGTGTGGGGGGTGGGTGCATACAAGCAGAGATACACACGATACACACCCTGTGTATCGTCAGCACATCGCTAGCTGTGGTTTTTCCCCCACTCACTCACTCACCCACTTAGTTGTCGTCTCGTGAACTGTCTACCTGCATATGTATCGATACTTGGCGAGAGGGGAGGTCTGCCTGTATGGGAGAGAGAAGCTCTGCCTGCATCCATCCAATGACACAGAGGGAGAGATGACACAGATGCTAATATGTGCGTGCGTGTGTCAGGCTGGACGGAGCAGCGGCACTCTGGCGCCTACACAGGCGTGTGTAATGCACCGAAAAGCTACACGGGGCCGTGTGCGCGCAGCGTCTACCTGGGCAACGCCACTTACACGCCAGCCATGCGCAAGGCCTTCGCAGAGACCTGCCAAGGTCGGCCAGCAAACGGCGTGCGTCGTGTGTGTTTCTTTCCTTCACTGTGTGTGTGTGTGCGCTGATCAGTTGAGTATCCGTGCGTCGACGAGGTGTGTGTGTTCAGGCCGGGTGGCCCGATTCGCGTGCCTGCGCCACTCATGTACGCCGCCAAGCTGTCAGACATGGTGGCCGACCACCTGCGAGAGCAGTTCAACCCACGCCTCCAGAGCTTTCTGTTCTTCCTCTAAGCCAACACACCCAACTGGCTCCACAAATGACGACACCCACACCCGCACAAACAGGTCGATGACCAGTCAGGCAATCCGACAAATTGAATGCACACAATGAATGCCTCAACACATGATGGCGTGTCTGTCTGTGTTATCCATTGATCAGAAGCGCCGCCCGCCGTGTCAGCGGGCCAGCCAAAGAGGCCTCCCTCTGTCGATTTGCCCGACGGCCCCATCAACCGCACCATGACGGCACAGCACAGCGGCACGATGGGCAACTTCCTCCTCAGTGCGCTCATGGGCAAGTGACAGTGACGCAGTCAGACAGTTCTGTCCGTGAAGAGACATGACGCGCAATGGGTGACTGCGGTGCGTGTGAGAGAGACACAATGGTTGAGGGACAATGTGTAATTAACTCAAACACCGTCTGGGTAAGTTAGACTGACCAACTCACCCCACCGGCACACAGCAAGGTGACGATGACAGATTGCGTACTGCTGATGTAGATGTGTCCGTCAGTCCATCAATTCGTTCATCGAAGCATCGTGACTCAATGAGTGTACGACTGAATTGAGCTCTGAATCCCGTCGTGGCAAAAAAGTCGGCATTTGTCCGTCCATAACGAGCATCGATCAATCACCACATGACCCCGCAGAGTGCAATGTGCCACCTGTTTGTCTCCGGCCCTGAGAGGCTCTGTGTTGACGGGTCTTCAACGGTCAACAGAGAGACACTCTGAGAGCTGCAAATACACAGGAAGCACAGGAGCAACCTTAGCGCGTGCAGAGCATCCAGAGCGACAAGACGTTCAAGGAAAAAAGCTTGTGTGTTGTTCAAACACAGCATTGAGATGCCGTCCAGACAGCAGGCAACAGATTCGTCGTCCCCAATCAAACAGCTCTTGCTGCCAGTATAGGGGCGAATTCTCAGCGCATTCATCGATCCATTCATTCCCTATTCACCCGGCCAGACAGCCCCCGTCATGCAATTCCCCACCCACACACAAACGGCACCCACCCACCCACCCACCCAAAACTCATTGCCATTCCCCGCCCCGTATGAATCATTGAAAAAAACACGCGCATGCATCAGCGCGACTGGATGCCTCCCTCCCTCTCCCTCTCCCTCTCCCTCTCCCGTTCCCTGCCTTAATCACTCATGCCGTCCTCCGAAGAACACTTCGACGCTCATGGCCGGTCCGTCGTTGCCGCGCGGCGAGTCGTTGGCATGCCGGTTGGCGCCCCTCACCCTGCTCCTGCCTGCCACACTGGGCTCAACGAGCATGTCGGGCATGTCGGGCGATGGGCTGCGGGATCGCCTGGTGGTTCGGGGCGGAGTGGTGGGCACACCTGCTGCACGAGAGGGCCGAGCGGGCCGTGGTGGAGAGCGACGGGCGGATGGAAGGTCATCGCCCATCAAGACCTCCCATCCGTGCCGGCCCTGTACACAAACAGCCAGCACAAAAACAGGTGACATGAGACTGGCCGTCACCGTGAGAGTGAGTGTCATGGCTGCCCGCCCACCGTGAGAATGCCGCGCCTTCGCTGCCTCTCATTCTCCCTTCGCTGCTCCCTGGCCGCCCGCATCTCCCTGTCTCTCTCCCTCTCCCTCTCCCTCCTCCGCCCACCCAGCCGCAGCGCCAGCGGGATGCCTTCATCGCCGGCCGCCACGTCCACCGAGAACATCTCGTCACCTTCGGCAAGCCGTCGGCTGCCCACACGAGCAATGATCTCCTCTCGGAAGTCTCGCAGGCGCGACTCTCGGGCCTCACGCTCTCGGTCGCGGAGCTCCCTGGCGGTCTCGAAGGGTGGCGAAGGGAATGGCGACGATTGCGGCTGCTTGAGGAAGGGCGCCTAACAGAAGCACGGAGGATGGTGTCAGGGAAAGACATGGATGAATGCCAACGTGTGAGTCGATGTGTCGTGTGCTTACAGCGGCATCCTGCAGGTTGAGGCGGCAGAGAGGGCAGGAATCGTGCTTCTCGAGCCACTCGTCGAGGCACCACACTGACAAGAGAGGCAGACAGACAGACAGATCGAGTGCTGTGAGGGGATGGCTCTGCTGCCCAGATGCTTACTGTGGTATTTGTGGCCGCACGAGTCCACTCGCCTCAGCGGCTGCAGAACTTCAAACGGCTCGAAACAGATACTGCACGACTGCACACTCACAAACACCCCCACACACACACAGAGAGAGAGAGACCATTTATGACCGCGTGTGACCACAATCAACTGACGCCTTTCTCCCCGCCTCACCTGTTCATCGTGCTCCCAGTTGGCCAGATTACGCATCCCCGACCCCTTCATCGACTCCGCAGCCGCGTCCCCGCCGCCTCCCTCCTCCATCCCACCACCAGACGAGCTCGCCGCTGCCGCAGCAGCTGCCGGCACCGCTACAGGGGCCGAGGCCGCAGCAGCAGCGGCTGACGAGGACGACGAGCTAGTGGCTGCTGGCTGTGGCTGGTCGCCCTGTTTGTTGTTGTTGTTGTTGTTGTTGGCGAATGAGGGTGGGACGAATGGCGCGAATTCGTCTGGTCTGTGGGCGGCGAGTAGCCGCTGTGCGACGCTCTCGCCGTGGATGACCACACTGGTCGACTTGCGGATTGAACTGAACAACACAACAGAAACACACACCGCACCAAGGGATATCATCAGACACACCCTCTAGCCCGTTCCTTCCCTCTCCCTCACCTGAAACTCATCTTGCCGTCGTTGCCTCTGTCTCTGTCCCTATCTCGGTCACGGCGCCTCCTCTCCCTCGGGTGGTCCCGCACCACCAGCCCCTCCGCCCCGTCAACAAACATCGCATGGGCATCCCTCAGCCTCATCGACGGAAACGGCACGTTGCGAATGTCGACACGCCGACTGGCACGAGGCACGGAGAACGGCATCTCCTCGCTCGCCGCGGCGTTGCCTCCACTGCCTACTGCGTTGGTGGAGTTACCGCCGGCCGCAGCAGCAGCAGCAGCAGCAGCAGGAGCAGCAGCAGCAGCAGCCGCTGCTGGTGCGCCTGTGCGCACTGCGGACACCACACCTACGCCAGGGTGCTGCTCGATGGACGCCTCGATGCGCCTCCTTCGCGGCGGTGGCCCTACAGGACTCATAGGCGGCGTGTGCTCCAATGACTGCAGAAACGACACACAAGAGGAGGTAGGCCGCGTGTGAAGACGGATGGAGGGATGCACTGCTGAGGGTGTGCAAGTGACTCACCTGTGTGGGTGGTGATGCGAGTGGTGCAGGGGGATGTAGAGCAGCCTCGTTCTGCTGGGGAGGGTTGGAGGGAGCTTCTGAGCCTCCCAACAAGCCCATCCTCTGGAGAAGCCGACGGTCTGAACTCTGCATGTCTCTCTGAAGCCACAAAGAACGCAGCGACAGCGACAACCAGTGACTGACGGTGTCAGCGACACACAAGAGCACGAGCTGGTGTGGTCCTTCATGGGAATGTGGCGTGTGGGGATCTTCTCCTCCCTCACCTGTCAGTCCGATGGTCTCGAAAGGGTCTTGGGAGCTTTTCCAGCTACTCCAGTGCTGTTGTGGGTGCTCAGCGCCGCAGGCTGCCGGAGCTTCTCATCCAAGCGCTTTTTGCCTTTTTGCGAGCTTCAGCGCTCGGCCTACATCTGTTTTCATTTTTCTTGTGTGTTCTTGCTGGGGACAGGTTTGTGGCGTCAGTTCTGTGTCGTTTTCCCGCCCTTGTTTCCCCCCCTCCCGCCAACCCACCGGCCCCAACTCCCGCCTGGTTGGCGGAAGAGGCTGTCCCACGCGGCTCCAGGTACGTGCATTGGAGCACACACACCGTCCCCTCACCCTTTGCATGAGGCCCCCTCTTCCCTTGCCGTGTGCGATTGATTCGGCAGACAACCCAAGAGACAAACTGACCGGTCCGTCGAGCGTTGAACATGTCGACTGAGGCGTATGTGTGTGAGAAGGAGGGCGCTTTGCTCAAGAAGCAGACCATCGAGCTGCCCAAGCTTTTGCCGCACCAAGTTCGCGTCAAGGTGGGCAGACGGCAGAAGAGGCACAAGGACATCGATCAGTGGTCAGCCATTCAGTCAGCGGGTCTCTCGCGCATGGCAGATGACTCACTGTGGCCTCTGCCACACCGATTGTCACATGATGAAGAACGGTGCGTCGAGCGGCATATGCTTCAACAAGGGGGGGGGGACGATTCTCTCTCTCTCTCTCTCTCTCTCTGCGTATGTAATACCATGTATGTGTCTGTCTGCCCCCTCCCTCCCCGTCTGTAGATTGGGGCGCCTCGTGTTTCCCCATGGTGCCCGGCCACGAGGGCGTTGGCACGGTCATCGAGGTCGGAGACATGGTCAAGACACACAAAGTTGGCGAACACGTCGGCATCGGCTGGATCCGCGCCTCATGTGTGTGGGCTTCTACAAAGAAACAAACACGCGACCAACCAGCCATCAAATGAACGACTGGTATGTGTCTCTATGAATGAATGGTGTGTGTGTGTGTGTGTGTGTGTGTATTTAGGCACAACATGCGACAACTGTCTCAAAGGGTTCGACAACATCTGCCTGGCGGGATACCAGGGCACGTACCTCGGCAGCGCTGCCATGTACGGCTGTTTCGCCAAGGAGATGGTCATCGACGCCCGCTTCGCGTTCCCCATCCCGCCGGAGATCCCGCTGGCCTACGCCGCGCCCCTGCTGTGTGCCGGCATCACCGTGTACTCGCCGCTGAGAGACTACGCTGAGTGCGGCACACGCGTGGGAATCATCTCAGTTGGTGGATTGGGTCACCTGGCGATTCAGTTCGCCAAGGCCATGGGATGCGAGGTGGGTAGGTGGTGGGTGGGCGGCCGACATACGTCGAGTGACACCAAACACACGGAGGGAGAGGGAAAGCCAAACCATTGGGCCTGTGATGTGATGTGATGTGATGTGATGTGATGCGTATGTGCAGGTGACGGTGTTCAGCGGCTCGCCCAAGAAAGAGGATGAGTGCCGCAAGTTCGGAGCTCACAAGTTCGTCTGCAGCAAAGACCCAAAGGCGATGGAGGCGCAGGCCGGCACACTCGAGCTCATCCTCAACACATGCCCCAATCGACCCAACCGTGAGCACACCCATACCCATACCCATACCCATGCACGCAGCACCTCTTGTACGTCTGTCTCTGCATTTGTGCATTCATGTAGACGTATCTGAACATCCTGCGCCCGAACGGCATTTGGTGTACATGGGCATCGCGAGCAAGGACGCGCAGCCGATCCAGCTGCAGCACATGCCCCTCATCTTCCAGCAGAAAAAGGTGACGCCTTGCTGTATGTATGTATGTATGTATTCGATCCACAAATCTTTCAATTCGTTATGGATGGATTTCCCTCTGCATGCCAGGTTGTCGGCAGCATCGTCGGAGGCGCCAGGTGGGGTGGGCGGCCGACATAGACATACACAGACACACAGGCTTGGCTGTCTTCCCTCCCTCCCCCTCCCTCCCTCCCTCCCAGATACTCCAACGAGATGATGCGTGTGGCCGCCACCCACAACATCAAGCCCGACATCGAGTGCGTACCCTTCGACAAAGTCAACGAGGCCTGCGACCGCCTGCTGGCCGGCGACCTGCAGGCCTACCGTCTGGTCCTGGTGCACGAGGGCGGTGAGGAGAAGGACGGCGAGCCTATTTTCACCAAGGCCCGGCGCAGCTTCGAGGTTGACGCCCAGTGGATGACCGACCAACTCGCCAAGGGGGCCAAAGGAGGCGACTGACTCACTGAGACATCGTGGATGGATGGATGGATGGATTGCCAACCGGCAAGAGCTTGTTTCTTCTGGTTGTGTGCTGTCTTCTATCGCCTTGTGTCGTATTTGCTCATTCGTCTGTGTGTTCAAGAGAGGGAGGGACGGCGGGGGAGGGATGGGCAGAGTGAGAGTCGATTGGCCGTGGAGAAGTAACAGATAAGAGAGCGTAGTGTATTGTCGGAGTGCCCTTTGTTAGTGAGAAACAATGACAAGTCATGTCTCTGCCTGCACTGTCAGTCTGTCTGTCAGTCTGTCTGTCAGTCTGTCAGTCAGTCTGTCAGTCTGTCAGTCTGTCAGTCTGTCAGTCTGTCAGTCTGTCAGTCTGTCTCTGTTTCTCCATCTGTTTCTCTCTCTGTCTGCCTTGCGTGTGTGGTCTTTTCCCATATGAAAAGGGCCACGCACAGGCAGGACCCATTTGGGGACACATGCAGACACTGTGTAAGACGAAACGAAGGGGGGACACACGGCAACAACGCATTAGTACGGCAAGTGAATGCTACAGAAGACCTTTCATGCCGCTGCGCGTCTTTGCAAATTGCGAGCTTAGAAATCCGACGATCGGCAGCTTTTTGAAGCGCCTCGCTTTGTTCGGGGCGGCATTCTTAGAGCTCCTCGGTTGCCACGGCGCTGTGTCCTTTGCCAGTGATCTAACTACGTGAGCAGTGCAGGGGCCGCCTCCTGTGCTGCCATCCCTCTGCCGCGCGTCTACCGTCGTTGGATGAAGAGAGTGCCCGGTGAGCAACACAAACGACGCCCTGCTGCAGAAGGCTGTGCATGCGCAGTCGGCCATTCGCCTCATCATTCGTGTGGTTTGGTGGTGACACTGTGTGTGTCAGTCACCTTATCGAATCAGTTTGACGTGACAGAGCTGTTGAAGAAAGGCATCATCCATGGTGATAATGTTACCGAGAAGTACCACATCGCGAAGCTGCTTCAGGTACAGTGACCGACAACACACGACGGGGATCACGAGACGAGTGCATGTGTGTGTGTGTGTGGTCTTTGTGCAGAAGTACTGCCGTGTCAAGTTGCAAGTGAAGGTTGAAGAAGGCGTCACATGTGGCCTGCCTCTCAACTGGAGTGTGGTCGGCCGCGTGTGCAATGGCGAGGTGGTCGCGGCGGGGCCACGCTGGTGCGAACTCAGGCGAAAGGAGGCATCACCCAGCAGCGGCGGTGGCGGCGGCAACGATGCTGGGAGGCCCCAGGAGGTTGCCAGGAACGCCCGCATCGCCGGCAGCCTCGCGCCGCCCCGGCTGAGTGCGAAGTCGCCATGCAATAGCCTCGCCCTGGCTGAGGTGGATGAGCTGGTGTGCGCCCATCGGGTGATCGGTGCGACGTTCGAGAGCGATGCGCAGGACGAGCGCTGGACGGGCAAGGCGGTGTCGGCGCTGGTGAATGAGCTGCTGAGCACGTCCACAGCCGTGCTGGACCTGCCGGCCATCGATGTGGCCCTCATCGACGGCACATGGTGAGGAGGGAGGGAGGGAGGCCCAGAGGATATCCATGCATCCCTCTCCACCTTTGTGTTGTCCATGAGTGTGTGTGTAGGTATGCGCTCAGCAGTCGTCGTCTGGTGGCCTTGCAGATGTTCAAATTCAAGCTGAAGGGTATCCTGGCGGCCGACGACACATCGGGCTGCCGCGATTGGTTCGCCCGCACATACCCCAACGGAAAGGTGAGCGGTGAGGAAGGACACCACAACATACAACAAACACATGACGATCGCCTCTTAGACACGCCTTTTGCCCTCTTACCTGGATACAGGTGTTTTGCCGTGTGGTTCCCCGCCATGCCCCGCAGCTGCCCAGTCGCGGCTCTGTGCTCCGGCCGCCGACCAACGCGGGCAGCATTCGGGACGAGAAGCTCCGCCTGGGGGGGCTGGGGCGGCTGACAGGGGGAGGGGGGACGCGACTGGGGATCATGATGCGACGCTTTGCCATGCGAAAACGAACACTGAATAGTGGTAAGATGACGATGCAAGCAGAACGGCGCGACAGTCGCTGACAAAAAATCCGTCCCTGTGTGTGTGTGTGTGTGTGTGTGTGTCTTACGTGTGTGTGCAGGCGGCCGTTGTTTGCTGCATCCTGCGTTTGCGGCGATGTCGAAGAAGAAGCGCGCTGGCAAGGACAGCGTGAAGGCGGACAAGAAGGAGAGTGCTGGTCACGATGGGGACGGTGATGGTGTCAAGGAGGGCTCGCATGACGATACGGTGGTGCTGCACTCGCCTAACGACATGGTATGGATCTGGAGCAACCGAACTGGTCAGCGGAGCGGCAGGCAACAGACGGCTGCCTGCGTCCATGCGGGTGGACCCATGTGTGTGTGTGTGTGTGTGTGTCAGGTGTGTTGTCTCGTGTGGATGGTGAGGAGGCTGCATCGCTGCTGAGTCAGGCAAAGGGAGGGATCCGCCACATGGGCAAGAGGCGACGACCTGTGGAAAGTGAGAAGGGGACGAAGAGGCAGGAGGGCATTGGCAAGCAAGACCGGATGAGCTCATCACTTGGCTGTGTGTGCAGGTGCGTACACGAGGGCTGAGTTGGCGAGGTCGGCGGATGCGTCCTATGTGGACGGCTCCATTGCTCGCAGCCGCGCCGTCACGCAGGCCATCGAGCGCGCCTCACACAAGATCGCCAATGCCGCAAAGGCCGACGTCAACGTAGAGTAGCCATTCATTCGACCAATGGAGCGAGCCATGCAGAAGGAAGGAAGACTGTTTAGCCAAGAGAGTTGCGTAGTACTACGCGTGCATGTGGAGGGTGGCTCTGTGACTGTCTGCCGTGAGTGGATGGTTTTGTCTGTCTGGCTGGCTGCCTTGTAGAATAACAGCTGCTGCTTGTCAGTCAGTGGTTCTGTTTGCCCTCGTGTGCCGTTTTGTGGGTGAGGAGAGGCCGATGCATGTGCTGTGTGCGGCGTGGCTGACTGAGAGATGAGGGAGAGACAAAACTATGCAAAAAGCATGAACGTCTCAGGTGCATGACATGACCGGTATCATTGACTTGGCATTGGGTTGACAACTAACGGCGCTGAGCCGCACACATCGCATTCACAACCCCACCCCCTCGTCCATGGCTGTGAGGGATCCCATCTCAGATGTCATTGTCTGTGGTAGTGTACACCGGCCATCAGACACACCCGTCCGTATGCATATCATCCGCCTCGCTCTCACAATCCGCCACCATTGCAATCGCGCACACGCCACTCGCACACAGCCACTTTGCAACAGACAGACAGACAGCTGTGGCCAACCAACCGAAGAAGCGCAAGGACGGACGGACGGACACCCAGACAGACAGACAGACAGCCCAAAACAGACGGACAGCCAGCCAGCCGGGCTGGTGGGCGGGAAGGGGTAGCGACAGACGTCCACCCACCACGGTGAGAGAGAGAGGGAGCGGGCGTCCTCCCGTAGAACATACGTAGACATGTGCTTACAGGAGTACGCCCCTTTTATGTAGATATGTACGTATGTGTGCCTGCGACTCTCTCTCCCTCTCGGGTGGCCGTCTAGCTAATCTCCCCACACACACTTGTTTGTCGCCCACCATGCCCAAAACAACACACACACACACACACACAGGCCCAAAAAGAAGACCGACCGAACACCCACCCCCTCACACACACGGCCAGGCGTAGGCACAGAGACAGACAGACAGACAGACAGGTCCACCACCAATGTGAGTGAGAGAGCGGGCACTCTCCCGCCTGCGCATGACATACACACGTATGTATATGCAGACATGTACAGACAGGAGTACGCCCCCAAGCTGTTCTCGCCTCAGATCGCTCGCATCCTCCGCTCAGTCCCAGCCCTCTCACTCACATACAATAGGTGTTCTCCCAAAAAGGAGGGAGTACACC